AGTTTATCTACTTCGTCATTTACTATTTTGGCTCGCTCCACTCCGAGCTTTCTTCTTTTCTGTTTCACCGGCTTGAAGTTCGGATCTACGTTTAGCTCGTGACAAATTATACTTGGATCTATACCAGGCATGTCTGCTGCTGACCATGCAAACGATGTTTTGTTTCTCTTTAAAAGTTCGACCAAAGCTTCCTTTATTTGGCCAGTCAGAGTTGCTCCAATTCGAATTTTCCGGTCCGGCTTGTCTTCTTCCAATACCACTTCGATTACTACATCATCTTTCTTCTGCCCGTTAGGAAATTTTGTTCTTAGTCCCTCTTTTGCGGGCTTCGTTAATTGCTATTGAATCTTCATACGGTGGCTAGCTAGGTAACACGTCCGTGAAGCTTCTTGATCTCCCCGAATTGTTTCCACCCCATTTGATGTTGGAAATTTGATACATTGATGGTATGTAGAGGGGACTGCTTTCATTCGATAAATCCATGGAGTCCCGAGGATGATGTTGTAAGCTGTGGGCTTATCGAAGACAACAAAGTCCACGATCTTCGATACCTTCTTGGCAAGGACCGGTAGCTTGATTGTTCAGAGAGACATAGCTGACTCGCTTGTGAACGCAACTAACGGAGATGGGGGTCCTACTATGTCTCCTCGGCTGATTCCCATTCTTTCTAGAGTACTTAAAAAGATCAAATCGACCGAACTGCCTGTATCTATAAGGATCCTTGATACTTCGAAGTTGGCAACGTCAAGGGTAATGACTAGAGCATCATCATGCGGTCTTTCGAGGTACCGCGTTTCTTCTTCATTACATGATATTGATGCACCTTGAAAATCGACTTCTTCGCTTAAGCTTGCTTTGAGTAGGATATTTCGTCTGTGTTTCTTGATGGAACTTATCGAATCTCCGCAAAATTTGGAACCTCCTAGAATCACATTGATCTTACCCTTCGAACTCCTTGGTTCTTCTTCGTTGGATAACCTTGGTCTTTTGGAATCTTGATCTTTGGAGTTTTCCTTTGCTTCGTGGTATTCCTTCACAAAATCTTTTATATCGAATTTGGAAAGATCTCCAGTGGCCCAAAGTTCTGCGAGGTGCCTTTTAAGAACGCTGCAATCCTTGGTTAAATGTCCGGTTACTTTATGAATATCGCAATATAGACTTTCATCACGGACCCAAGTGTTTGATCTTCCTTTCCCTTGGAATTGCTTTCCGACGGTACTGTTGAAGGGTTGCGACCCAAATTTCCTTGGTCCTTTGCTCTCCCTAGGCTCGAACTTCTTGGTAGGGACGGTGATTGCCGGCTTTTCTTGTTTATTCCTTTTAGCGAAACTTTCTTTTTCGTCCTCTACCTTCATCCAGTTGTTCGCGCGGAAGAGTGCATCCTGAATTGTGTCTGGTTTATGAAGTATTAAGTCTTCTTTAAACCTTGAATCATGTCGCAAGCCTTTTCGTAGGGCAGATAAAGCTGATTGCTGCGAGATTCTTGGGAGCTTTGACAGCACTCCTTTGAATTTGGTGATGAAAACTCGAAGCGACTCATTAGATCCTTGTGATAAGTTCCAAAGATCGGCATCCGAAACGCTTTTATCCATAAGGATGGAGTATTGCTTTAAAAATACGGCTGATAGTTCGTCGAAATTGCTGATCGAACCCGGCTCTAATTGGGTGAACCACATTAGAGCTTGGCCACATAGATTCTCCGAAAAAAGCTTGCAGTAGCCTGCGTCCTCATCAGCTTCATCCAATTCGACTCTTCCAGCAGCGATCAGAAAAGCTGCGAGATAGCTTTTTGGATCCTCCAATCCGCTGTAAAGGTCCAACTTGAGTTTCCGGGAATCTTTGATCCTCAAACTTGCAATTCGCGAGATGAAAGGTGTTCGCCTAGCTTTTTCAATGACTCGATTGATGTCTGGCTCCGAACTTGTAGCTTGATGAAATTTTGATTTCATTTCTTTTAATTCCTGGCTAACCTTCCTCATGGTCTCGAACTGGTCGAGGTTCTCCTGCTCGTACTGAGCTGCAAGTTGTTCTTCATCCCCGAGCTGTGTCTCTTCCTCCAACGTCTGAACTACATTATTAGTAGCACCGGGAGTTGTTTGTCCGCTGGTTTCATTTCGTGCAGCGGAACTTGGCGAGTTGAATATCCCTCTTCGGATTCCCACAAGGTTTCTTGCACTTAAAGAGCGAACACGAGTTTGTATAGTATTGACCTTTTGACTAAGAGATACCTGGGATGTTTGCAACGTATCGACGGCCTTTTCCACATCGGAGAACTTTTGTAATATGTCCGACATGGTTTGCTGCATAGCTTTGAGGGTTTCGGCCAATGATGTCTCAACGGTGTCTCCTCTGGACATTGTTGCTTATCTCGGAAATGTAGTAAAGAAAATCTGACCACTCAAGAATCCTATCTCCCCGGAAACGGCGCCAAAATGTGGATGTCGGATTCACACACTCAAGTATTTTATTAAGTTGGAAAGATTATTCTTGAGGGACAAAAATGAATATGTAAAAACTTCTAAATTGCTACAAAAATTGCTATATATTATTTCTTTGTTTCTTAGAGGAAGGTCCTTTACATGGCCATTGGCCTCCATACTTATACATCGAAAAATGACATTTAAAATGGCTAATTAAGTACAATTATTCTCTCTTAAATGTGTCCGTTTTGATTCCTTGACTTTAATGCTCAACGTTTGAATTTGAGTTGACTCTGATCTTTATGGGCCTCGCCTTTCGGCCCAAATGTCCTTGGACCGACTTAACTATGACCTCGTCTCCGGACTCGTGTCGAGGTGCAGTCACTTCGAATTCTCCTTTTGGTGGTTACCATTTCGATCGTTCTTTTGACTTCGTGGGTCTGATGGGCTTTATCCTTTATGGGCCGCTACCCTGACTACGTGGCAATCTTTGGTTGGTCCTGGACCTCTGGTGCGGGATCCGACACCAACACAAAGCAGGAGCGCCCACCACAACTTGGAGAGATACGTGAGTGTAAATGTTGTTTTTATACTTTCTGATTATTGTCCCTTGAAGACCAATCAATGATTAAACTGGTCTATCGTAGGTGTGAAGAAGAGGAAAAGAAATGTACCAGCCCCGAATGCACCTTCTTTGAAAAAACAAAAATCTGTTGTGGAAGAAGAAAATGAGGACACTGCTGAGGATTGTTCTGAAGATCCCCAGTTTGAGAAGTTTGTAGTTCAACTTAGGAGGTGTTTCAAGAGGCAGGAAGCACAAAATAAACAAATGCAAGAAGACTTGAAGAAATTTGTCCGTAAGGAGATTCGTGCTGCCTTAGATCCAAAGGTCAAAAAGACAGAACCAACCAAAACTTCCCATGCTTCACAGGGCCCAAATAAATCGGTGGTTAAGGCACCGATGAGTGTGACGAAGGCATCTAAAAAGATGTCTACAAAGAAAGTCTTCAAGTCTGGAACAAGAAAGTCTTCAAGGCTGAAGAATATAATGACGTTAGTTGCGGAGATTACTCAGCTTTCTGATGGTAACTCTTCCTCTGAGGAAGATGACCAGGTATGGCATGTACGTACATTTATATATAGTATTTTAAATGTACGTACATGAAGATTAATAACTGTAACTTGTCTGCTATGGTACAGGATGAAGCCAACAATGAAGGTGGTTTTTCTGTAAATGATGGAGGAGATTTTTCGAACAGAGACGAAGGTATGGTTGACACTGGAGTAGCTAACATTTCAGTTGGTGGACCTACACCTTCCCATCAGGTATGTCGTGTACAAATTTTTTTTCAATTATTTCCAGTTGTGTACGTACACATAGGCTTCAGAAGTGTATGGTATACTATGTTTCAGGATGAAGGAGCACGTGATGGTGGTGAGTCTGTCCTTGTTGGTACACAGTCAGGGACCGAGGAAAAAGGTAGTGCTGACACAGAGATGGAAGAAATTCCATCTCCTGTACCTTCAACCTCTGTACAGGTATGTCTTGTGCTAATAGTCACATACTGTTTTCTATAAGTGTACGCGTATCAATTATTTTCAGTTCTCCACGTACATATAGCTTAAGAAGTGTATGGTATACTATGTTTTAGGATAAAGAACCAATTGATGGTGGTGAGCCTGTCGTAGTTGGTACACAGCGAGGGACAGATGAAAAACCAACTGTTGACACAGAGATGGTAGAAAATCCATCAGGTTTACCTGCAACATCTGGACAGGTATATGGTCTGCTAATAGTCAAATGTAGTTTTCCATATGTGTACTCACATAAAGCTTAAGACGTGTATGGTATATTTGTTTCAGGGAGAAGAACATGGTGCCGGTCTTGAGAGTGAAGCAAATGTTGGGAAGCAACCAAAAATTTCTGAGGATAATGATAGAGATACATCTTATCAGGCTGAACACACCGAGGAACCCAGTGTAAGTGTACGTACATTTGTCTTTCTTATTTCCCGTGTACGTATAAGTAATGATTGTTTCAGACATCACAAAATAGAGCATATAGCTGATGAAGTTGATAACTACTGCCACAGGTTGATGCGGGAGATGTACCCAATGTAGTTGCAGAGAGTAAAGTGGATGACTCAGTACTTGAGGGCACCCTAGGGGATCCCCCTTCACCATTTGCAGTAGTTAAGAATGTAAGCTAACTATATTTTTAAATAAAATAGTGTAGGCTTGTTTAAATTTATAATCTTCTATTATGCAGGTGTTACAGGAGTTGGCAACGATAGCCTCCATGGATGTGGATGCAGCTAATGTAAAAGAAGTAAAAATCTCGTGTTTGGTTTAAAATTATACACAGTTATTAACATACGTACATAGGATTGTATGCGTACATTTAAATAATTCTGCACGTTAATTTGAAAAGGGAGTGTTGGAGCAGCAGGGGATTGTCGACGGGGTGGAAGAACAAGAGGATTCAAACCCAGGGTTAGATGAAGCAGACACGACAGTTGGTACACTAGAAAATATTGTGAGTATCTTCCCAGTAAATATTATCATTACATTTTGAAATTGTTTAATCATGTTGTTTACAATAATACTTCTTTACAGGATGAACCAAACAACGATGCTGCAGTCGAAGCAATAGCAGTTAAAATTCCTACGCCGGTTGTACCCAAAAAAGTGAAGAAGCAAATAATTGTTGAGATGGATGAAGCCCTTCCGGAAGGTTTTAAGGAAACAACAGTCCTCGTGGAGGATGTTCCTGGACGAGCTGAAGATTCAGAGGTGGTTATAGCGGCTGGAAATGTCCCTTACAACCCCTTGGAGAAGGTTGATGCTTCCAAATTAGAGCTCTTAACCAATGTCCTCCGCGGTCCGAATGTGTAAGTATCGTGCATTATCAAAATTATCTCTTAATTGATACATTGATTTTCTATAACAACCAGTCATACTATAATATTGGATATACAGGAAGCACACTCTTTTCGGGTATCGCAAAGTGGACAACGAGTTTTTCTCCATGCTTATAGCACAAGGACAGTGGGTGGATAATATGGTAAGTTGAAATAGTACATTTGTGTACATTTTTTTAAATATGCCTGAATTGTACGTACACTGACTGCCTATGCTATTATCATTCAGGTCTTGGAAATGCTCGCAATCTTGATGTGGCACAAGAACGGTCAACAAATGATAGCAAACCGATGCGTTGTTTTGGACTCCTTCCTGCTTTATGAGCTTACTAAGCGTGCTGTCAGCTTCAGGAATTGTATAAATAAGCTTGGGTTCAAATGGGGCGACCGGCTATACGACATGGCCAATGGAATACACATACACCGTGAACCTAGTCTTAGGTGGTTCAAGGATGTCAACGTGGTATATGCTCCGATGAACTGGAAAGGTGATCATTGGGTTGGGTTGGCAATCCACCTCAGAGCCCGGAATATAGTTGTCTATGACGCTCTCATAGAACACACGCGGGAGTCTGTTGCATGGTCAAAGATGCAGCCTGTCTGCGAGATGATGCCGTACCTAGTGAGAGCGATGTGCGCGGATGTATTGCCTGCGAAGTACTCAGTTGAACCTTTTGCCTATGAGAGAAATGTTATGGTCGCTCAAAACCCAAGTACAGGAGATTACGGGCCTTACGCAATGAAGTTCTTGGAGTTGCTGGCGTTTGGTAACCCAATGTCAGACTTGGTGAATATTCAAGAAGCAGATATGGCCACCTACCGTCAGGTGTACGCAACAGAAATCTACGAGCACGGCAAGCGCGAGTGTGGTAATCGGCGTTTATTGTAATCATCCCTGGATGTTGAATTATTTTTATTTCCTAGTACTTATTTCCTTATTTCAACAACCTAATTAGAACAACGTAATTAATTATGGAGATCCTCAAAATATTTATGTAATCGTTATAACTATCTTCTCTAAATAATCTGCACATCGTACACTTATTCAAAAACCAACATGTGTACGTACATCTTATATAACGTACGTCTTTTACACAAAGTCGATTTTTCTCATAATAAGATATCTATTTCTTTACTTACATTGATTTGACAACCCTCCCTCACTGCATCATCACTTACGTAAGATTGCATTAACTACAACCATAACTTAACCAACTAACTTCATTGTTCTTTATTTAAGAGTAGGAATTGCATTGTTTTGAAACACCAAATTCCAAGAAATGTCTACACCAAATCTACCTGAAGATTTGCTAGCCAAGATAGCCAAAAAAATGGCTGACAAATGTTGGTGGTACCTCGGACCTCTGTTAAGATCAGGGCGTGGTGGAAGAAACATTGTCTACAGGCCGGATGTCTTGAAAGATGCTAATATTTATAGCATGTGCAGTGATCCCGATGACTTCCATGCGGCAGGCCATGATCCGAATGACATCAACGCTGAAGGTCGATATAGACCCTTTTTCAAAAGGTGTCTAGAGGCTGGTAACCCGATTGCTATTTACCATGAAGGACTGCGTCTAGTTACCCATGAGTCTGACATTAAGGGCGCCATTGTACTTTTACAGCGGAATGTACCAAGGCACGCCGATGCAACCCTGGCCTGCGCTATTCTGTGCGTATGCGAAGGGAATGCTCACATGGGTGGTGTGTACCTACGCCTGTTCGCAAACAACCATTACGCTTTGGAATCAGAAGAAACACGTGACATGTGTGAGGAACTCCTAGAAGAAATAAAAAATTATGGAATTAGGTTAAACAACACATACGGCGCAACCTTTTCGTACCCTGAGGAATGTGGTATTCAAACGCCTCCTTGCGCGATGCTGTGTTACATCAGATCTGGACCCTTCAAGAATGTGTGCAACGTATGTTACTTCTGGTGGTGTGCGAGAAGAATTAGTCAAATTCTCTAGGGATTTCTTACGTAATATTATCTGAATTTCTAAGTTTTTATGTTATAATATGTGGCCTTTACAATTGTACATAGGCTTATCAGTAATGAATATCTTTTTATCTACATCCTTGCTTGTTTCTCATATACTACTCAATCTTATGAATGGTTACAAATAATTGTAATATTTTATATTAAATTGAGAAACAAGTTTCTTAATGTTAGATAATGGTGCCTTGTCTACACAGGCTTACGAATTATCAGTAAATACATACTGACCTGATTTAGCCATTGATAATGACCTCTATCTTTTCAAAAAAAAAAAAAAGAAACGCAAATTAATGTACATATATACGTACACATCCCTGTAATTAATGTACACTGTCTTTTGTCAGATAAAACGAAATTGCAAAAGAAAGAGATTTGGTTTTTAATGCGTTTCCCCCAGATTTAGCCATATACATGAACTCAATCTTTTCCCCTAATTCGGCGACAGGCATCAACTCAAACTTTTAGTCAGAGAACGTAATAAGGGTAGACATACGTACACGGGTATATGTTACTGTGTACACGTATTTTAGTTGGTTTGAAACTAGAAATATGAGAAGCGACTTTCGAGATGGTAGTAAATGATGATGCAATGCTGGTTGATTTGACCTGTAATAACCCATATCTACAAGTTTTGGAGTGGTTATTTAATGCATACTGTCAAGCTCTATTCATAGAATGACCTCTATCTTTTCGCATAAATCTCCTTACTTTACGTACACGGTTTGCAATTAATGTACACTTGCATTTGTCAGACAAGAGGAACTTTAAAATAATGACACTTTATTAATGCGTTCCCCCCCAAATGTAGCCATATACATGAACTCAATATTTAGGCCCTATATAAACGATATCACACACACTAATTTATTTGCTCACATTATTCTAAAACTTCCTTCTTTCATCAACTGCAAGATTATTTCTAAACCTCCTTTGTTAACAACATGGCTTTCCCCGCAACCCCTCCAACCGAGATGTACCTTGCAATACAATTGCCAAACCCGATTTCCGTCCTTATCAACTACCTGCCCGTATCCCAGACTCCCACCGAGACCCTCCGCCACTTGGTCGAAGCAAGTGACGTAAACGCAATAGTGATGGACGACTTCATCACATGGCCTCACTTCGTGCAGCCGGAGTCTCCCTTCAGGGCCTACTTCAGCCTCTTGCTGGAAAGGGGTGCGATCCCGGCTATATACCTCGAAGGTGTCCGCCAGGCAAGCAGCTTCCTAACGGTGGCCCACGGCATTACACTACTCAACTCCGTCGCTCCATCCAACCCTCTCGCCTGCTTCGCGACCGGCTTATTCCTAACTTGTACTGGCAACCATGTCGACTTTCTTCCAGTCAGCGATATGTTCTGGGCGATGACACCCACATTAGCGGCAGCTCACGCAGTGGGGGAGATGGTGATGTATCACATAAGCCAGCTTCACACCGAAGGTCCTCGGCTCTGGCAACGTTCATGGAGGTATGTGCACACACCGGCATGTGTTGGCCTTTGCACGTACAGTTCCGGCTGCAGAGGGTGTTTCTTTTACTGGTACGCGAGGGAGATGTGTGTCTTCTATTAGATATGACTTTGATAATGACGGATGAGGCATACAATTTTCCGGCTCATGTGTATGCTTCGGGCTCTACTTTTTAGTTTATTGCTTCCGCATCTAATATATAGTTTGTCTTTCTTGAATGTATGTCCTTCTTCGGGCACTTAATTATGAATGAATGAAATTTTTGTTGTTTGAGGACAACAATTATGATATATGTATGTTTTCGTGTACGAACACGGGTTTTGTACAATTTGCTGATTGAAGAACCAAAAAGCTAGTAAAACGTACACTGGCAAATTAATTGTAATTGTAGACACTGTACGTATAAAATGTACGTACAATTACACAATAGTTTATTATACAAATTCAAGTAATTAGAAAACGACAACAAGTTTATGTAGTTTTACAATACTTAATATAAATCTGGTCTTTAATAATAAGAAGACTGGGGAAAACAAATCCCCCTATCTAAAAAACGACCTGCTTGATCTCTTCCACTTCCGGTGTGTCCGGATCGGCAAAGACCTTTGACACAGGACCATGACTCACAATCTTAGGATTAGCTCTGTCGGTTAAACGCCAGAAGACGAGTGCGACAACAACATTGCGCTGACCTAGACTCCGAAAGAAGGTTTGGAATTCCAACGCCTGTTCATTGTGTGCTTCGCATTCCAAAACTTCGTTGCTACATTAGATTAAAAGAAGAATCAAGTCAGCGTTTAGATTAAAAAGTGTAAGTGAATCAAATGTGAAAAGAACATTTACTATCTATCTTTGATCTTGAAAGGAAGCTTGAGACCGTAGAAGTCTCCGGTCAAGTGGCCAACCTCCAACAACGCTCCAATGACATCTACATCAAAGGCCAAAAAATAGAAATAAACTTCTAATTTCAAAAATGTGTAAATAAAACGTAACTTAAAAAACATCTCACCGACTAAAACTTTCTTATCAACTGTTTTCTCCAAAATGTAGTCGAATTGAGTGAAATCGTAAGGCGTTAGTAACGACGGTCCGATCCATAAACCATATGCCGTAGTCATGAGATGTTGCTCTCACTGGGTCAGCGACGTTACGGACCAAGAAAGTGGTCACAATTTTCCATTCATTTTCTTTGATTCGGTCTATGTAAAAAGGAGCAAGGTGACGATCAATGGTGGCCTCGATACGGGAACGGGATCCCTACAGAATATGATATATAACAGATTTATATAGAATTGAAAACGTATGATAAAAAAACACAAACACGGCACAGGGAAACTACCGAATTATCTGCCAAGATAAGGCCGAGTTCGAAGATGTTGGGCGCAACAAACTTCTTAAACACTCTCACGACAAATACACAAATTATCCACCCAGTGATCTGAGGACACAATTCGGAGATGGTGTGATACCCGTTCATCACACGGTTAGCAAGAACAATCGAAAGACTTTGTGTTTGATTGATGTAACTGGCGAATATGAAAGGGTTTTTGTTTGAAGGAACGTGGATAAAATTGAGGAAGAGATGTGGCTTAAATAAGGAAATTCCGTAACGGACGCGGTGGGTAGTGCGAAAGTGTTCCAACGGTTGAGATACAAATGTGTGTAACCGTTTGTAACCGTTTATTGCATGAAGATTATACGTACACAGACACAACAAACACGTACACTAAAAAAAAACGTACACTCAGAAAACGTACATAGTTATACGATGGCAAACATTAAACGTACGTACACCGTCACAACACTTTGGTACACTGTCCACACATAAACGTACACTGTCTTCGCGGAGACATAAAACTTATGAGGAGAACTAAATAGGATTTTTGCAAGTCTTCTTGTTATGACCTGCTTGTCTACATCGTGTGCACTGATTCGGAATAAGTCTTTTCTGTCTCTTTTTCTGAAATGACAACAATAATAAGTTAATAATCTACGTATCTTATACTCAAAACATAATGTTTGAAAAATCTGTACACGTTTGAATGATAGCACTTACCCGGTTTACACCTCTAGATGGAATCCTTTTGGTTGTTGGTCTTCCTGGTGGTCATCTACAGTATGGAGGAATTAGTATCAAATCCGATATATGTTGTGGGATGACAACATCCTTCGGATCCGCGATAGGTAGAATCGGTTCTTGAAAAGAATCGGAAAACGTTTGAAGTCCATACCACCATCCTACAACAACCTTCGGATCTATTCCAAACTCGATTGCAGCTGCTAGACCGTGTTCACATGGGATTCTCAACTTTGTGTACCTAAGACACGTACACGTACACTCGTCCAGAACGACATGAAAATGCTCACCTGACTTGCTTGTAACTTGATAACTCCACGGTCCAGACATCTTAACCGCGAATTTCCCTGACGCAGGCAAATCTTGGAGAAAACGCTCATCAACCTCAGGCGTCACTAAAGACTTACACCTAGCCACTTTTTGCCTCCTTGCTGCGAACCATCGCATTAGGACCTCTCGAATGAACTCTATCATGTACACAATCGGATATGATTTGGCTCTTGTTAAGACATTATTCATAGACTCCGAATTGTTGCTAGACATGATATTGTAGCGTTCCCCTTTACAGTGAGCTCTTGTCCAATGCTCAAATCCAATTTCCTCTAAGTAATTTGCGCATGCAGCACTCTTAGCCCTTAACTGTTCGAAGTATTTTTCAAAATCTCTCACTCTGTAAGCTTTAGCAGCGCTGAAGAATAATCCAGATACACCATACTTACCATAATGGGTGGAGATATTTCGCTCAAGGTGTACTGCACATGCACCATGATGAGCTTTCGGATAAACCACACTGAGGCCTTTATATATTGAAGAATGTATGTCCGATACAATCATTAAATCTTCACTGTCTGCAACAATGTCAGCTAATTTATCAAAGAACCACACCCATGAAGCGTCAGTCTCACCATCCACAACACCAAACGCTATTGGAAATATTTGGAAGTTCCCGTCTTGGGCACATGCAATGAGGAGACATCCCTTGTAACGTCTTACTAGCTGCGTTCCATCTACGACAATTACCTTCCTCATATACTTCAGACCTTTTATAGAAGCCCCGAGAGATACAAAAACATACTTAAAGCGCTGCGTACCATCAGCTTCAGGTGTAGAGTGTAGGTGAGTTATCGTACCCGGATTAGCTAATTTAAGAAGATACAAATAGGTAGGCAAAAACCTGTAACTTTTTATATCATCCCCCCTTACATTTTCCACTGCAACCTCTTTAGCTCTCCAAGCGGTAGAATATGAAATCCGAACATTGAGATCATTTAGGAGCAACTGTGGTAAATCGACAGCTCTCGGACCCCCTTGCGTAGAACTGTATCTGTTCTTCACTACCTCTCCGAGAAGCTTATAACTAGCATGTTTATTATAATTCTTACGAGTGTCGATGTCACACGTATGGGTGGTATCATACGATGTGATTTTGAAACATTCTGAATTCTTGACAACTTGAGCTGTCAAATGCCATGGACAAGTATCATCAACGCAGACCATCTCCAATCTTGTAGGACATGACCTACGTTGCTTGTAGCAAAAGCATTGTTTGATTGCGAGATAAGACATTGTTTGTTGTATGACTTTTCTGTTCTTAAAAACACTCCCGACATACAAAGTCTCACCTGTCGTACTCAGTTCGACTTGTGTCTCATCATCTCGTAAATTGGCTAAATCATCGAATACCGG